TAGTACTGAATATATATTAACAGTAGAAGGATACTCTGGTACTGCTGGCGATAGTCCGGACTATCATAATGGAAGTAGATTCACTACAAGAGATAATGATAATGATGTATGGTATGGTAACTGTGCTCAGTACCACAATGGTGCCTGGTGGTATCATAGCTGTGCTTATTCAAATCTTAATGGTCGTTATTTTAATACTGTAACTGATAATCCTCAATCAATAAATTGGCACCATTGGAAAGGTGCACTCATTAGTCTCAAGTTCTCAGAGATGAAAACTCACCGTAACAATTAAATACTGTCCCCCACATACATAAGTGTGTTTACATTGTGCTGATATATTATTATGCAAATGTCAAAAAGCTGCCATACCTTGTAGTGATTAAAATAAATATAATTTGCTGATGATTTTTACTAAATAAAATATTTTGAAGCTGATTTTCAACTAGTATGAAACTACAACACTGATAATATCAATACAGTATAACTGATTATCTTGAATACATTACAGGCTAATAATTACCAGCAATATCCTTTAGCATGAATTGAAAACAACTTCGAAGCAAGCAAGATAGTAACAGTGTAGTATGTACATGTACTAGACAGAATTAATGTGAAATAGAACATTTTTAGTTCAGTCTAATTGGATCATAGTTAACTAACTATAATTAACTTCATAAAATGAAATACTAACTATTACTAACTAATGGACTCAACATAGTAACTAAAGAACACTATACACTTCTCAAACTAAACCCTGTTAGTACTACTAGACACTATGAGGAATCAGTTAAGAGTCTAATGTACAGAGCATTGGTCAATGCACTTTTATAGACAAAAATTAATTAAAAATTCAACTAAAAGCTAATTAAGAATGTGGGCAGTGACATAACTAATGACAAGCCCACCATACACTAGGCAATGCTATTGCAGACATTCTGTGGTTAATTTAGAGTCATAAGTAACTTGTTACATAGAATAAAACAGCTCTCTATTCTAGTCAACAGTATACTGCCTGACAATCAAAGTAACATTCTAATTATATTATTGGGAGGTGCACTAGCTTTCATATTGAAGCCAATATAAGGTACAAAATTAGAATGTCTAGTTACAGTTAGGTATGACAGCCTCCAAATAAAGGGCAAAAGCTGATTTCCAAAGTGGTAATATAAAACTAAATAATAATTTTGAAGACATCAAATTTTCACAATCTTCTACTTTTTGGTTATACTCAATCAGTTGTCAGAATTATTTTAGTTGCATGATTTAACAGAATTATGGGGGAAGATTTTTTTTGCTATATTGCAAGCCATACTATGTAATGTTACTACTGTTTTCGCAAATAATTAAGTAAATAGAATCTCCATTATAGTAGGTACATGATGATGTAGTAGTTATGCAATAGTTTAAATTCCAGTTCCTATTAAACACACACATACATGTACAGTCTCATAAAATGTCAAAGATGTTCATCTTTATGTTGTTGTTGCTGTGTTTAATAGTTACCATTGATGAAGGAGAAGGATCTTATTGTATGGCTGATTGTACTGGAGAACCATCACTGTATCTAAAAGTATGCTGTAACATTAGTAACTTAGGACAGACTATTCGTATGAGAGAAGGAATAAGGAAGACTATCATGGTATGTCCTGATGTAAGGCCACAAGCCTGTCCACCAACAATAGGTAAAAGAAAAAGCACTATAATAATTATTTTCAAACTAAATCTAGTTCTTACAGACTGTAGGGATTGGTATAACAATGGTAGCACTACTAGTGGCCTGTAGTACATAAATCCTGATGGAGGGACTCCTTTTACAGTTAGTTACTAATAATATAATTAATAATTATACACTACTGGATCACAGGTATACTGTGATATGGAGACTGATGGTGGTGGATGGACTGTATTTCAGAGGAGACAAGATGGATCTGTTGATTTCTATAGATACTGGACTGACTATGAGAATGGATTTGGCAACCTTACTGGTGAGTTTTGGTTAGGATTGAGCAAGATTCATCGTCTTACTAAAGAAGGATCAAACACACTAAGAGTGGACCTGGGAGACTTTGAGGGGAACACAAGATATGCTAACTACTCTACATTTAATCTTGGTGATGGTAGTACTGAATATATACTAACAGTAGGAGGATACTCTGGTAATGCTAGGGATAGTTTAATTGGTCATAATGGATGGAGATTCAGTACAAGAGATAATGATAATGATGGATGGTCAGGAGGTAGCTGTGCTCAAATAGGTACTGGTGCCTGGTGGTATGAATCCTGCTATGCATCAAATCTTAAGGGTCATTACTTTCATACTGCAACTAGAGCAAACCCAGCAATTAATTGGTTAATATGGAAAGACGAAGGTCTTAAGTTCACAGAGATGAAAACTCGTCGTAACAATTAAATACTGTCCCCCAAACACATAAGTGTGTTTGCATTCTGCTGAATATATTATTATGTTATTGCAATATTACAGTCTGTGATATCATGTAGTGATCATTAATATTTAATTGACTTTTGATAATTTGATGCTACATCGTAAAACTATAACACTTGTAATAAACAATACTGTAACTTCCATGCACTATATAACATTATAAACTAATATTTACTAGTTATATTAAAAAGAACAACTGCAAGATAAGTAGCATTGTAAAAAAGTGTAGTACATACAATGTACATATAGCACACAGAATTAATGCAAATGAAAACTCTTTCAGACTTATTCAATTATAGCTAACTATGTTAATCTACTTACATAACTTAAGCAAAAGTCTTGTTTGCATAAATAGTGAAACAAATTGTATCGAACAATCAACATGGCCTATGATTTAATATTTTGTCATTGCTGCAATAGCTCTTCTGTCCATACAATGCAAGAGATAATGATAAAAATCGATGGCCAGAGTTTAACTGTGCTGAATGGGTCGTTGATGCCTGGTCATTATTTTAATAGTACAATCACAGATCAAAGAGGAATTCATTGGTACCATTAGACAAATGAATACATTAGTCTCAAGTTCTCAGAGATGAAAACTCGTCATAACAATTAAATACTGTCCCCCACACATATAAGTGTGTTTACATTGTGCTGATATATTATTATGTCATTTCAATATTACAGTCTGTCATACCTTGCCATATCTTACAATGATAACATACATGTATCATACTTAAACTCATTGACAAATATTATTTATGAATTAATAATGTGTCACAGGTGATACGATTATTAAAAAAAGCATGATCAAAATCATTTGTTGTTCGTAGTAATATAATAAAAAGGAAACACATCCTTGCAATTTTTGGTAGCATCTTTATTGCTTGCTAAACAACACTCATAGATATGTCTTGTTTATCAAAAAAGGACCAACAGTCTCAATTTCAGTCTTTGTTCAAGTTACATACAGTCTAGTAAAATGTCAAGGATGTTCATCTTTATGCTGTTGTTGCTGTGTTTAATAGTTACCATTGATGAAGGACAAGGATCTTATTGTATGGCTGCTAGTACTGGATATAAACATGAACCATCACTGTTTATGAGGACATGCTGTAACAGCAGTAACTTAGGACAGACTGTTACCATTAGAGGAATTGGTAAAACAAGATGTATTCTATGTCCTAAAGTACGACCAAAGTCATGCACATCAGGTACTGTATATAACTGGAATAGTTCATGATATACTTATTGAAGATAACAGAGACTGTAAGAGCTTACTTGAGACTGGCTTTGATATAAGTGGTGTTTATACTGTTAATCCTGATGGGGGACTCCATTTGAAGTTAGTTAAAAGTAATTTATAACCATACACTATTGGATCACAGGTATACTGTGATATGGAGACTGATGGTGGTGGATGGACTGTATTTCAGAGGAGACAAGATGAATCTGATGATTCCTATAGAGACTGGACTGACTATGAGAATGAATTTGGTGACCTTACTGGTGAGTTTTAGTTAGGATTGAGCAAGATTCATTGTCTTACTAAAGAAGGATCAAACACACTAAGAGTGGGCCTGGGAGACTTTGAGGGGAACACAGCTTATGCTAACTACTCTACATTCAGTGTTAGTGATGGTAGTATTGAATATATACTAACAGTAGGAGGATACTCTGGTACTGCTGGGGATTGTATGGACTTGTATAATGAATATAGATTCACCACAAGAGATAATGATAATGATGCATGGCACCGTAATTGTGCTCAAGACTTCACTGGTGCCTGGTGGTATAATAAATGCCTTAATTCAAATCTTAATGGTCGGTACTTTAATATTGCAACTTCTGATATTCAAGGAGTTACTTCGTTATGCTGGAAAAATAATTATGTTACTCTTAAGTTCTCAGAGAAGAAAACTAGTCGTAACAATCAAATACTGCCCCACAAAAGTAAGTGTGTTTACAATTCAATACATATGTACATGTAGTTTGTAGTGACAATAATAATTATTCGAAATGATTAATTATTTAATTTTAATGATTTGAAGTTATCATCGACTCAAACATGTACAAATGATGGAGACACACAGCGTAATTACAATTGCCAATTATAACATTGTACAAACAAAGATCTACCACTCTCAAAAATGGATGTACATTGTACAATGCTCACCACAACATAGTCAAACAATAAAACTACACAGCACCACTACAACAGTACCATTCAGCCAAGAAATACCGTATAGCACTTTATTTTGGCAATTTTGCTGTAAAATTATAATAGGCAGTTTTTAATTTAGCAAATTTGTGTACACGTGCATTATTGAGCATGCGCATTAATGATTGGCGGTTTTAATAATGGGGATTCAGCTTGCAAACTGCCAATAGCCAAAATAAAATCTGCTTAATTAAAGCGCTATGTGGTATAATGCAATACAAACATGTATCCCTCCCAAATATTCAGTATTCAATGCCCACTATAGCATACTGTACCTGTGACAGTGGTTTCCTCCCTGGGTCAGTCAGTGGGTTACATGCTCCAACAAACTGTATCCTCTCTATTGTCACCTATGTGTGGTTGGAGGTCCTGTAAAATCTGCTGTGCTCGACAATCTGACGTAAGAACAATATTACTCTCTGTGTACCTTTAATTAGAAAAAAGAATTTTTAAATGAAATATAAAAAAAAGACAATGACATCTCTCTAAAGTGTATTTGGATTGAATGGATTCACATAAGCTTTCATATTCTTATTATAACTTTACACTTACTAATTTTATTGTAAAATCAATATTCCATACCATATTTGTCAAGGTCTGGAAGGTTAATCTTGTCACAGAAAAGAACCAGCCACTTTCCAAGTTGAGCAGGAGCCATCACGACTCCATTGGGAGTCCTCTTGTACTCACAGTAATGATCAAACATCTTTAATAATAACTCGGGAGTAGTCGCTGAGGAGAAATTAAGACCAACAACCTGGAGAAAAATAGAAAAGGGAAAAGATAATTGTTAAACAGATAAAACAAAGAAGACAACAAAGATATTTTCGCATAGAAATATGCAAGTATAAAATCTCATACATTGTACTGTATAGCGGGAAATTTTTGGAGGGGAATAAATTTGGCAAATTTGGCATTTTAATAGCCATTTGCCAAATAAAAATCCGCCATTTTGAGTCATTATATGCATGCTCAATGGCACATGGCCACAAATTCGCCAAATTAAAATCCGCCAATCACCAAAATGTAACAATTCGCCAATATTTAGCCCCTCCAAATTTACCCACTATACAGTACATGTACTGTGGAGTACGTTCGTAAATACATGTACATGACAAATCAGGTACATATACATTGTACATTTCATAATGCATATACAAACTGTACACAATCAAACTCACTTAAAAATCAGGTAGAGCATGAAGAGCAGAGAACAGTGTCATGGTTTTACCAGAGCCAGGTGGACCACTTAGTACCATCAGCTTATGCTCCACCAAACATGTATAAAGGAGACTCTCATGCCTCACTGTATCAAGAGTAGGGACCACAACATCAGGAGAACCTACTTTATGAGTCTCAACCTCAATCTTGGGTACTCTAAATAGGGACATAAAATAGAAAGAAAAGGCATCAAATAGAAAGGAGGGCATTAAATAGAAAGTGAGGCATTAAATAGAAAGGATAACAACAAATAAAAAACAAGGGAATAGAAAGCTGGGCATTAAATAGAAATATTAATCTGACCACAGTACCCATTCTCCTTAAATTTTAACCTCAAAATTAATGATGGCGGCAGTACCAGGTGGTAGAGGTATGATGGTCGTTCCCTGTATAAAGTCGCTCATCTTGTCCCAATAGACCATTTTCCATCTCTGGAGAAGCACCAGATCAAACAGAATATGAGGTAGCAAGGAACGTAGGCCTCAAGCTGATCGGAGAGCATGGGAAAGTCCGGGTGTGACTGGTTGTAGGAGACTAAGTTTCGGATCATCTGATGGAGCATTAAGAAGAGATAGTCAAGTGCCCTAAGGTGAATGAAGTCCATTATGTGGTCTAGAGTTGTGGCGTGTTCAAGACAGCGAGGAACGATACCGTTCAAAGCAAAATGAGGACTTAATAGATCAGCAAAATCTCTCTGGACCTGGATAATATATGGGCAAAGGAATAAAATTTTGTGAGTAAGCGGTTAAAAAAGTAGATAAATTATTTAAGTAGAATATGGTGATTATTGCATATGTGTACATGCATGTAAGTGTAATAATATATGCTCACAAAACTAATTCAAAATTGAATGGGTAAGAAAAATAAAAGTCATAAAAATTAACAAAAATACATGTGTACATGTACATGTAGTTGCTTACCTGCATATTATGCAGGAGAGATGGTCTTCTGGTCATAGGTGCACTCTCCTCCTCTTAGTTCCTCCTCTCCCTCGTCAATAGGTATTGATTTCAGTTTCAATATGAAGTGATCAAAAACCATGTCAAGTGTTACGACGTCTTCACTAAACCAGACCATACCACAGCAACTCACAGTGGATAGGGTAGCAAACTTAAGGTCTTGTACTTCAAAAATTATACGAACCTAGAGAGTATACAGAGATTTACTAATAATATACTAAACATAATAACACCGTTATTAAAAAATTATGGGTGCTCTGATATTACATCATTTTTGGCGAATGTCCCTGTACTATAGTAAGGGGGTGTTCGCCAAATTTTGCCAAAAATGTCAAGTTGAGAATTCCCAATTTTTATACCATTTTCTGATGCACATACATGTTCTTATATAGTGTAGAAAGTTTGAACTGATTCTGGTTAAATTTGGATTTTTTATGAATTTTTAAGTTGCTCCAAAATCGAGCCAAAGTCCCTGTATAATACAGGGGCATTGGCCTAATTTTGCTAAAAATAATAAGAAGAGAATTTTCAATTTTTATTATGTTTTCTGATGCACATACATGCTCTTTTGTTGTGTAGAAAGTTTCAGCAAGTTCTAATTAAAATTAGAGTTTTTATAAATTTTTTAGAATCCTGTCTTAGTCATTTAAAACAAAATATTGAAAGCTAGCATGAGCATGCTCAGTTTGAAACAAAATGGCCGATTTTATATTTCATGGTAATGTCAATCGACAATATTAATTCCTTGCCAATAAATGATCTTGTACAGTATAATTCTACATGTTATAAAGTACAGAAGAACTCTCAAATAAAAATGTATGAAAATGTAGAAGGTATTGCTAAAATAAAGATGGGAAATAGAAGCCCAGGCTTTTGCATGTACAAGGATTTATAATAGAATACAACAATGCTTAAATCCCATACACAATGTATGCAATTATACATGTACATGTACATGTACACTGCACATACCTCATCCTCTTGTTCATGAAGTTGCTTAGATAGATCAGTTTCCTCCAGTGTCTGTCCTTGAGCTGCCAGTTCTTGGTTCAGTTGCTGGATCCTGTCCCTCTTGATATTACCAGCACTCACCAGTACACTCTTTAGGGCTCTCAGACCAAAGTCATAGTGAGACTGATTGGATAACTGCTCATCACACAATCTGTAAAGAGAGAGAAAACAAGAAGCTTAAACTTTAACAGAAAAATATACATGTACATGTACACATTGCATGTTAAATTCACTCTAAACAGGATTAAAAATTTTCGTTCGTTTTATTTTCGTTCTAAGCAGCCATTTTGTACATGTGGCATTGAAGAAACGCCTTTTTCGTTTGGAAAATATTCGTTCCACAAGGAATGAGAACAAAATTAAACTCTGACGGAATATAATACTCGCTATACGGTACTGTATATGCAAAAGAATGATTTTAGTCCTCAGACAAATGCCTCGTTATTCATCAAATACCAAAACCAGTTTGACTGGTTTTACAACTTATGGCTTGTCATCTAATACTCATCACAATCTTGTTTCTTGCAAAGGCTTTATGAAAACAAATAATCAGTCTCTTAGTAATTAGCTCCTTGATTTGAGAAAATTTTACATTAATGACTGCAAGTGCAGCGTACACCTTAGTAAAGGTGGGTGAGGCTGACTAAGCTGTAATGACTGCAAGTGCCAATAATCCTCTAATAAAAAGAACAAAATAATATTGAAAATGAATAATAGAGTATACATGTAAGTATTTTACCACCCATGGACTAAATTTTCTTGTACTAACTCCCTGACAATGTTGGCAATATTTGACACACTGACCTAAGGAGGTGTGTCTGTGATCATGTGACAGTCATGTGAATGTACATACCTTGTTAATCAGACCATTAATACTCTTATTAAGAGTCTCCCATGCCATCCTTTGATATGGAGCACTAGAAAGAGAGAAAAA